TTTTATAAAAATGGTTGGTCAAATATGTTCTTTTAATGGTTTACACTTGTCACATTGCTCCTCTGGCGGTTATCAACTGAACTTCACAATCTATCGACATTAAAGTAGCCTCCCCCCACCATGAGAGTTTCCAAACCTGTATCTAAGATCGTGATGGCATACTAAAATTTGATGAGGGCGCTGCCAGTTTTTCGTCTCTGGCAGGGTTGGGCGTGTAAATTACGTTGGTAAATTACACCGTTTTTTACCGACGTAATTTACTTACGTAAATTTACATTTACATTACCTCGACGGGTTTTTTATATTTTTTACATTACCTTGAAAAGCTTGTAATTTTCGGTTACTAGAATGTTCATTTTATTCCGATTAACGAAGACGCAGTATTGGACATATCAATATCATCAAAAATAGTATATTATGTCCCGAGGACACATAAAGCGCGAATCTTAACTCCACTCTGTTCGGTTAGAACGCGGTTCTCGGTACTTTGGGCATAAATATTAGGTGTGTTACTTAATTTTTACAGATTTTTCAGTAAATTTATTTAATATAAAAAATAGAGAACAACGAACTTAATCGTGGGAATATTGTCCATCGTTTTCTATGACCTTGCGCCATCTCTCAGGTAACATTCGAATGCCGTCGCGAAAGAAACTTGTAGGCTTCGAGGCGATAAAGTCATCGACGAATTTACGCACATCGTCCAGCGTTTTAAACTGTTTATCCACTAAGGCGTGCTGCATGGACCGGAATAAGTGATAGTCGGATGGGAGCAAGTCTGGTGAATATACCGCGTGCGGGAGAACTTCCCATCCCAAGTTTAAGACGGTCTTCTGAGTCACGCGGACAACGTGAGGTCGAGCATTGTCATGCAGCAGTATGACTTGCCTGCTTCCTTGCCCAGTAAATGGCCTTTTCCTATCAAGTTCTTCGCTCAGTTTGTTCAGTTGTCGGCTGTAGCGTTCCGCAGTCACCGTCTGACCTTTTTCCAGGAGTTCATAATAAAGCAGACCCTTCATGTCCCACCAGATACACAGGAGAATCTTCTTCAAGTGGATGTTCTGTTTCGGCGTCGATGTACTGAATTGTCCGGGATCTACCCACGACTTTTTACGTTTGGGATTCTCGTAAAAAATATACTTTTCATCACCCGTCCCAATTCTCCACAAGAAGTCCTTTTTTTGTGGCCGGGCAACCAGTGAAAGAGCACCTGTTCATACGTTGACCTAGGTTGTATTCGGTCATCACATGTGGGACCTACCTTCCAAGTTTTTGGATTTTTCCCATTTGCCGCAAATGCTTAGAAATAGCTGTTCAGGTAACTCCTAACGGAGCTGCAAGCTCTTGTTGCGTTTGCATTGAGTCTTCATTCAGTAGAGCTTGCAATTCCGCATTTGTAAACTTTCGAGGCTGTCCAGGACACGGCTGGTCACTCAGATCGAAATCACCACTTCTAAAACGTTTGTACCAATAATTACACGTTTCATAAGATACAACGTCGGCACCACGAACACTACATATTGATTCCCGTGTTTCAGAAGCATTTTTTCCTTGTTGGAATTCGTATAAAATGCAGTGCCGAATGTGCTGTTTATCAGTTGCCATCGTAAACTCTGCTATTCTGAAAGGTTATGTAACTTACATAGACTTGTCGCTCCGTGTTCTGAAACCTTTTGTCCGATCCTTTTAAAACCAGAAAGGACCGCGTATATATTTCTGTTGAAAGTGGCGCCCTACGCCAGTCTCCTTTTACCGAGAGTGTGGCTGACTGTGTCGCCACGGCGCCGTTGCGCCTCTCGTAGATATACTCGTACTATGCATCACTTGTGCCGCGACCGTCGTCACATTACGTGTCTGAATAAAGCTTAATTACTTTTACGATAATAAAACTGTATTTAATCGTTATTTCAATCCTAAATAACCCTTCAGGTTATGGGCCGAGCACACTTCCACTGTGCGTGATTAAAATTTATCATAAATTAAAGGATTGAATGCGATAAATCGGAAATTCCAAAAAGGACGCTATCGGGCGGCTGGGCACGTGTCCGGGTGGATCACCCGCGATACAAAGCAAGATCCAGAAAGAGGAAAAATCGAGGCGGGCTGGGTGAGTGACGACAAATGGAAAGGAAAAATGAAAAGTACTCAGAGAAAATGTAAGTACTGAAAATGCATTAATTAAGTGAAGTGAATTGGTGAGAACGAAAAATAGAAGTGATCAAAATGGCGGCCGGAAATAAATTGTCCACGACGCCGACCTGAAATCGAGATTTAGACTGAAAAGAATTAATAAAGAAATCCAATTAAATTCACAAAAAATCACTGAAAAGCAAGAAATATCTTTTATCATAAATAAAATCATATTTCGTGAAAAACAAAAGAAGAAAGCCAAGTGACGCCATGACAATAGTATCTCGGCAGTGAAGGCGAGCACGGGTTTCAACAGGCTTCAACAAGTAGACGCAACGTGTGGGTTACGCGCGCAGCCGGGGCGCGTCTGAGAGAGAGGAACGACTGCAGTCCCACACACATTGCTCGAGCAAAGCGAGAACAATAAGAAATAGAAAGAAAAACGAAAATTAGTGTGAATATAAAAATTGGTGTGAAAAACAACGATTCTCTCTTTCTCGGCCGCGTTCCGCGTGTGTGCGGGGTCCACCAGCGAAATGTAAAGCAATAAAATAAAATCAATAGACACTAGTGCAAAATTGAAATTTACAAATTAAGGATGCATCCAAATCAAAATATTTAATTGGTGAGGATATTGAATTTAGAAATATTTAACAGGCGAGAATAACAAATTAAATATTTGATGGGTCGAATCAATGAAATTGAATTTTAAAATTGCTATCTTTAGACGAAGATATTTATAAATAAATAATTACAGCTGATGAAGAACTTCTGTATGAAGTGTGGAGACTCCTAATTAGACAACATCTAATCGAAGGAAACCATGAGGGAGAAGTAGTCTCCCTGGCAATAATAGACGAAAAAGTACATGTACTTCCAGACGAAGGAATTGGATATGTAACAGGCGAGACATATGTGTAAATAGGCGAGCATACTATACACATTAGAAACGCGCAATATCAAATTGCTTGAGAAATTTAAATCAATCTCTCGCAATCATAAAAGACTTGAATGTGTTTGGAGGAGGTCTTATGTTTAGATTTTCTGAAGAGCACATTCATTCTGAATTCGGTTTGTTTATGTTTAGCAAGTCGAGTTTTGGATTTCGGATCTGAACATAAAAATTGTAACCAGATACAATAATCCTAAATTTTCTTTCGGTCTCTTTAAAATCAGATAGGAGAGATTTCTCAGAGGATCAATGGAGATGTCTGACTGTGTTAGAATCTGCATTGTTGGCTGAAGAAAAGCCAATGTGTCTACCAGGTTACGGTCCGACATTGGCTTTTCTTCAGCCAACAATGCAGATTCTAACACAGTCAGACATCTCCATTGATCCTCTGAGAAATCTCTCCTATCTGATTTTAAAGAGACCGAAAGAAAATTTAGGATTATTGTATCTGGTTACAATTTTTATGTTCAGATCCGAAATCCAAAACTCGACTTGCTAAACATAAACAAACCGAATTCAGAATGAATGTGCTCTTCAGAAAATCTAAACATAAGACCTCCTCCAAACACATTCAAGTCTTTTATGATTGCGAGAGATTGATTTAAATTTCTCAAGCAATTTGATATTGCGCGTTTCTAATGTGTATAGTATGCTCGCCTATTTACACATATGTCTCGCCTGTTACATATCCAATTCCTTCGTCTGGAAGTACATGTACTTTTTCGTCTATTATTGCCAGGGAGACTACTTCTCCCTCATGGTTTCCTTCGATTAGATGTTGTCTAATTAGGAGTCTCCACACTTCATACAGAAGTTCTTTATCAGCTGTAATTATTTATNTGCTCGGCCCATAACCTGAAGGGTTATTTAGGATTGAAATAACGATTAAATACAGTTTTATTATCGTAAAAGTAATTAAGCTTTATTCAGACACGTAATGTGACGACGGTTGCGGCACAAGTGATGCATAGTACGAGTATATCTACGAGAGGCGCAACGGCGCCGTGGCGACACAGTCAGCCACACTCTCGGTAAAAGGAGACTGGCGTAGGGCGCCACTTTCAACAGAAATATATACGCGGTCCTTTCTGGTTTTAAAAGGATCGGACAAAAGGTTTCAGAACACGGAGCGACAAGTCTATGTAAGTTACATAACCTTTCAGAATAGCAGAGTTTACGATGGCAACTGATAAACAGCACATTCGGCACTGCATTTTATACGAATTCCAACAAGGAAAAAATGCTTCTGAAACACGGGAATCAATATGTAGTGTTCGTGGTGCCGACGTTGTATCTTATGAAACGTGTAATTATTGGTACAAACGTTTTAGAAGTGGTGATTTCGATCTGAGTGACCAGCCGTGTCCTGGACAGCCTCGAAAGTTTACAAATGCGGAATTGCAAGCTCTACTGAATGAAGACTCAATGCAAACGCAACAAGAGCTTGCAGCTCCGTTAGGAGTTACCTGAACAGCTATTTCTAAGCATTTGCGGCAAATGGGAAAAATCCAAAAACTTGGAAGGTAGGTCCCACATGTGATGACCGAATACAACCTAGG